AAAAATATTGCAAAAACCTGAAGGATGAGGAATCTAGACGTACATAGTTATTAGGTTCCATGTCCATAGCAAGGCCCACAAAGATTCTTTCCTGTTCCCTTTTGGTTTCTTTTTACTCCCAGGATTAGCTCTGTACAGTACTTTCCTAGTAGTAGACAGAGCAAATGAAAAGATTACAGGTGAAACTGAAGTAATAAAGGGAAGTGCTTAAGTGTAAAGGCTAACAGGATAAAGGAGAAGGACACGTAAAGATGAGTTCTGCGAAAATCAGAGATCTGAGGCTGCTGCGTGACTTTAAAAGTACTGACCTCTATGTAGCTTATAAGCTTGAAAATCCTCTCCTATATATTTGCAGCATTAATTCCTCTTGTTATCTGAGGTGATCTACTTTAATCAGATTCCTACAAACAAGTCAAGTGCTTACAGCAGAAGATCTTTGACACCCCTACTGGCAGCGTCAGTGGAGAGGACAAAGACCAAACCAGCAGGAAGATCAGATAAATCGCCTCATCTCAGCAAAAACTGTTTTAGGGTAATTGGCATCAGAGTTCCCCCCTCCACGCTCTTACCTGTATGCTCTATGGTCATTTGATGTACTAGTTGCACAAAAGATACCTCAAAATAATCACATTTCAAAGGCACAGCAATTCTGAAGTCTCCTTTGTCACAGTGCCAACTCCTGGGCTACCTTGCTTCGTCACTCAGATAACTTGAGTCTGGATCAAAAGGGGACTCATAAATTTGATCTGCTTTTGAGCCTTTAGTGCAGGTTCTACTTCCTATTTTCTAAGTTGCTAGTCCCATGGTCTCTAGCTCAAATAGCGATGGTCCTTGTTTTAAGTTTAATCTCTTTTCACACAGAGCTTAAGCAGAGGGGGCAATGCCATCTGATACCCTCCAAAGACCTTTCATCCCCACTGGAGCACATGTATTGCCTGTGGCAAAAGGAGCTTGATGGCTGTGTGAGGACACATGAGATATGTAAGGTGACAGTTCAGGTTGCCTTACTCCTTAGACTTATATTATGGAGAAATCCTAAGTATTTTGTGCCTGGTTACCCAAGAGTAGATTTTATTGCATATGGTGCAAGACTCAGGATACAATTGCAGCAAGAGGGCTACCACTGCCTAAATCCAGGAACCACAGGACAAGCTTTGATTAATGTGCTTGTTTGCCCAAAACTGGTTATGTTTCTAGCAGGAGCCAATAGTTGAGATAATCTTAAAAATTTTAAAAGAAAAAACTGGGAGTGAAAAAACCCTATCTAAAAATCATTGTGGCTTATCAAGGGAATAAAGAACTCACTGATCAATTAGCTTGAAAAATTAGTAAATCCAGGACAAATGTAGTTTAAGATTAGCATCTTAATGAACTATTGTTGTCACAGCCTGGTTTGGACATATCACTCCTTTGTTGACATTTTTAATGCTTTCTGTGGATTACCAGTACATGACCAGTATATGAAAGCTTGTTAAGCCTCCACGTGCTCAACCTGGCCCTAGCTTTAATACTGGCTTAGTGCAATCCCTGCTGTTGGCACAAGCTCTGTGGGACTGGAACCTTGTGGTGCTGAGCATTGTGTTTCTACCTAATCATCATATGGACCTACTCAAGTGTGTTTTACAAACTTAGGGCAAATTTGTGACTGCCCAATTATCTATATGTAACTGTTATAAGAGAAGCCAACCAGGTTGGGGTGGGGATTTTCCCCCTTTTTTTGTTTTTCTCTTCTTTTTTTCAGAATTCTGCAATATCTTTCTGTAACTAGTGGGGGGATGCTTTCAGCCTGTCTTCCATGTCTGGCTGGTATTTCCTTTCCTGATCAGCAGAGAAGCCTGTGCACTCATCTTTTCAAAGTGCAGAGCTCTTGCATCTCTCTCCTGGTTCCCTGTAGAGAATTTAAAGTTCTAAATGTTTTTTGAAAGCCTCAATTTTATTCCCATTAAGGAAAATTCTGCTACAGCATCTTCTAGACAGAGGCAAATTGACGTTACTTTTGAAAATTCACCTTTAAGCCGTGCGGTGCTACTTCAATTTTGAGCTAGTTTTGCTGTCTGCTACAAGTGTGAGGTGAAGTTACTGATAGTGTATCTGTCTCACTATTCCTTTCATTCAAAGAAAAACAACAGATTATTATGAATCTGAGAATTTCACTGTATAGTTTGCTTTTTTGGTTGGTTTTCCTTTTCAGTTATTTGCAGTTGTAATTCTGTGGCCCTAAACTGAAACAAAGCGATTTTCCTTCCACAAAAAAAAAAAAAAAAAAGGCTGCTAGCATTGCATCATGTAGAAGTGGTTTAGAGTAGATGCCTGCAGTATGCATGTGCAGTTTTATCCCATCTTATTTTTAAATGGTTATCTGTGCATCCCTCTGGTTCACAATCCTATTCCAAAAATACCTGGGGTTTATCCTTATCATATTGCCCAGCTAACAGTAAGAAATAGGCTCAAGTGGCTCAGTACAGAGTAGCTTTACCTCTTATGCAACAAGGTACAAGATCCAGGGAGAAGCCAGAGACCTGCCTTGGGAAGAGCTTTGTGCTCTGTGGGCCAGGGAATCCCTTGGCAATACCCCTTGCACATGTTGACAGTATCAGGTTGCTTCCCTGCAACTTCACTGGTAGAAATCTGCACTGAAAAGGGATTCCTTTGTTCACAGAGGCCAGGATAAATAAGGTCTAGAGGTTTCTGATTCTTATCTTAAATAACTCAAAGCTTTAATTACAGTTTTTGTAACCATATTTTTAAAATTTTATTCCTTTCAAGTTTACCAGCTCTGGCATGCTTGGTAAACAGGACAAGCATCTACATTTGTTTCTTTGAAATATGTCCTAACAGATTCAGGCTTTGGAAAAAGCACCCTTGCTCCCCAGAGGGACATCTCACCAGTTTATTGGATTTTTCTGCCATTTTTACAAGGTTTATTGAGACTTCTGCTATTTTGAAGTTTGTTATTTTTTTCCTTTCAGCCTCAGCAAGCATTTTTTCTTCTCCGCCTTTCCCTCCTTTCTACCCCCATTCCCAAGAATCAAATACTTTCCCTGTCCCAGACCTGCAGATAAGGTTAGATGTGTCTTTTGTCAGACAGCATGTGTCTGTTCTCGTGTCTAGAGTTCTCCTCCTCCTCCCCCTCCTCCACCTCCTCTTCCTTCTCAGTTGTCCCCATTCACCTTTGGTAACCTTATTCTGGCACCAGGAAATGTTTTGATCCTTTACAATCAACACCGAGAGTGGGTATTTGGAAAACTGCTGTATCACAGCCCACAGGGAGGAATTTGGATTCAAGGTGTTCACTTGGGAGTCTAAGGTCAAAGATACACCCCAGGGCAAAAACTTCTTAGGGTCTTCTCATGGCTGCATGAGAAGCAGTGAGCACCACGTGGCACCATATGAATTAAGTTAATAGCTTATTCCTCACTTTAGTAGAGAAGAAAAAAATTGAGCCTGGTCTCCAGACATTTTATGTAGTTTGGGGAACAAAAAAAAAAAAAAAAAAAAAAAAAAATTAAAAAACCAAAAAAATTTTTTTTTTGATTCATAGACTCAAAAACTGTTTGGTTTTCTCCTCCCACCACAGAGTGGACTCTTGCTAGGTGAGTAGGGAGCTGGAAAGAGATACCACGTGAGATTGTCTGATGTGGCTCTGCAGTTCTGAGGTTGGACACTGTGGATAGTTTCTCCTCCAAGTCTAAAATTACTGCCTACACTTCTTTATCAGGTAGCATGCAGTAGAGCTTTTGCACAACACTTCCTGCAGATATAATTACACTTATTTCATAGCTAAACCCAACATTGGACATTTGCCCAAAATATCTCCCAGAGAGGTAGAAAAAAGTAACCCAATATGTGCAGGTCTTCTCTTGAAGCCACATTAAGATTTCATGCAAAAGCTTGAGCACTCATAGTGCTCAACTTTTCTGCAGGATCTGGACAAAATAAAGAAGCAAACTCCTTTTCATGAACAGGGGAGAATTCATTCCCAGATGAGATATTGTATCTGTCCTCCTGAGCCCTATTTTTCTGTCTGAAAGTGATGTGAATGCTTTTAATCAGCTCTCTGTACTGTGATTTGTCCCCAGAACGTCCTGTGCATTGTAAAGGTGTGTCCAAAGCCTACCTGCCTTGTAATGCAGTGAATGTCAGCTGGTACCAGCTCTAGAGTCTCACTTCAGTCTCCACATCCCACCAACCCTCAAAGGATGAAGAACCCAATTCTTGTTCTAATGCTAAACCCCATCTGTGATTTGAAAATATCTGTAGGTCATACCTAGAATTTGGAAAACAATGACTTACGTCCAAAAGTCCTCTTCTCATAGGACTCTGAATATCTGAAGGTGAAATAAAGGGTGGGTTAGATTTGTTATAGCTTTTTTTTTTTTTAATGGACTATTCAGTGTTGGTCTTCATTATTTTTTTTTATCCTTTTGAAAGCTTTTAGAGCCTCCTGCATAACCGCCTCTGCCCCATTCAGTGCTGAATGGACGGTGCGCTGATCTTTTTCTCGGTGGGTAATGGATTTGGGTTGATTGCTTGACACAGGGACAATAGGGGGGTAAACAATTGCCTTGCACCCGTGCAGCTCCCCATCTGTTGAGTGCGTGCGCCTTCAGAGGCAGCCGGGCAGGGACAGATGAATGCGCCAGCCGAGCCTGATGTTAATGACATCAGTCATACAAGCAGAACATGTGGCGCAATAAATCAAAAACTAATTGAACTTTTGGTTGATTATATTGCTGTCCCACTGCCTGCTCCAAGCACGGCACGGTTTCCTGGGACAATGCCCCCAGCCCTGCAAAGGCTTTGCTGCCCCTGGACAGCAGGAGCCTGCCCTGGGAGGTGACAAGTGACAACAGCTTCCCTTCGCTCGCTGCTTTCTTGAAACAGCGACACCTTCCACTCAACCAAAATGCTTCCAGGCTCAGGATGTCTATTTGACCAATATTTATTTTTTCAAATCAGAAACGTTCATCAATATGACAGTGATGGCCCATGTTCACCGGCACTTTCCATCTGGGACTGTTGGTGGCAGACAGCTATAGGAGAAGACAGCACTTGTTTTTGTGCTAATTAGACACACACGTGGTAGTAATGAAGGCTATTCATTAGACTGATATAATTTAATATCATTATTCACACTTGAAAGTGCTCCAACTACATCAGTTGTTGCAGCCTGCAAGCCAAAATATTCTGTCTTGGGTGTCCATGGCAGCATTAAGTCACCAGAAGTTGAGTGGGCTGATATTCATAGAGGTGGAAAGGAACAATTTCTGATGGGAGTATTAAGAAATTAAAAGCTTTGGCAAGAAGACCCTTTATTGAAATGCGTAAATATGGGATTAGACCCCAGAGCCATCAAGTCAGGAACCCATCCATGACTGAGCCACCTTTCCTCCCCTTGCAACCACAGACGTGCAGGGGGAACAGAGATCTATGCACATCTGCCTTTCTTAGGCATCCGCTTTTGAAATTTTACTTTGAAAAACCCAGGATTACAGTATTTGTTTATGAAATGAAACGGTAAAGCACAAAATGCTTTTCTTAATATACTAGAGTCACCTCCTCATTATGTGTAAGGAGCAAATTTTTATGGTAAATATGTTAAAGTACACATTTAACCCAACTTATTTCAAATATCTTTGCAATACTTCTGTAAACATTTGCCAATAGATTAGACTTTAATTATTAGCTATTTACTGCAGAGGATTCTCCACACTGGTAAAAGCAAATGTAAAATAAAATGCTCCTATCTGAGTAGAGGCTTAAGCAAGAGCTAAATTAAATCTTTGTGTTAATATTATTCATAGAAAGGCAGATGGGAGCAGAAAATGTTGCAATGAAGAATATGGAATGAGATGAGATCACAGCATCAGTCTGTCCTTTGTAGATCTGGACAATGATCACAGAGCCAGATTGGATTAGTGAAACCTATTTACCAGAAGTTCAGAGCGGTTGCATGAAGCTGAAAGGCAGTCAGTAGGGAGAGGTGGAAAATGCACCAGATTTACAGCTGCAGCGATGAAAATTTAGAAGTTTTCACTGTGATTTCTTCCAAATGTGAGTACATCAAAATCTAACAACAGCTATAGTGTTGTCTTTTAGAGGGATGGGATGTTTAGCAGCAGGGAAATATTTGCAGAGAGCAGCTCGTCTGTTCTGCTGTGCTGTGCTCTGCCTGCAGCCTAGCCCTCGCTGCTGCTTTCCTGACCTAATCCGTGCAGGTGCTTCAATATTGTGGCTCTGTAAAATCTTTACTCTGGCAAAATTGGGAGATTTGGAATCGGTGTTGCTATACCTATGAGGTAACTGCTAAAGTGACAGCTTGCAACTGTGTGGCTTTTCTGTGTAATAGAAAAGAGAATGAAGTTCTGCGAGCAGTTAGAAGTGGGTGAAGTGCATGAATGTTGAATTTAAGTCTGCTGGCTCAATAAGTGGAACATTTCCAAAGCCATGCCCTGGAAATGAATGCATGATTAACATTAATTGCTTCTAATGAAGAGTAAGAACCGGACAAAGCCCAGCCTGCATTTGATTGAACAAATTAGTTTAAACTCAATGGCTGCATATTTCAGCAACAAGAAAGCAGGGAAAAGCAGGGAAAACAAATTGTGGGGCCAGATCAGATCTTTACTTGCAAGCTGCGAGCATGAGCTCTCAGCTGCTTAATTTTGGAATATAAGTGGAAATGACAAAGTGAACCATCACTGTAATTGTATTTGTTGCCTGAAATCTGGGCTATACGTACAAACATCCTTTTGCAGGCAAATCCATGTAGATCATCTGCAAGGATTCGTTCTTCTCTTCCTTCTCCAGCTCTCTGCAGAAATTCGTGTTCGCAGGGACAGCCTCGCAGCCCCACTGTTTGCATTGCTGCCATTGTATTCCCACGCAAGTGGGTCACTTCTGGCTACTTCTGTGATTCACCCTTCTTTCAATGCCTATTCAAGTAATTGCATGTTTGCTGGTGCTGTGACTCCCTTTCATGCCTTGCCTCTCTTCAGCCCTGTAAACCTTTTGCCACGCGTTCTGGCAGACAACAGGGGATGAGGGACTGTGGATCATATGTACTCTGAAAGTAGGCAAATTTATTACTGTTAGGCACATTTATATGTTGTTCCTTTTGCACTAGCCTGGGCAGCAGCTATAACAGCACGAGAGCACTTGCTTCTGGTAGAAATCTCTAAAAAACTGTACTCCTTACACTGGGTGGTAAAATATCTAAAATACCAGAGAGACAAGAAGGTAATTCCTTGCATCGCTAAACTTTTCTGCACCTGAGTGTTTTGCTTAGAAGCAATTAGTTTAGTCTTCACACAGCGAAATTCCAGAAGTGAAGGTGATGGAAGGAGTTTCAAAAACAACTTACAGCTTATTCCTAGATTTAAAAAAACCCAAACCACCTTAATTATGTTTGTCAGGCTTTCACCCCACACTCAACATGGTTTAAAATATAAAATGTGTCCTGCAGGAGAAGACAGTGAGGATCCCTGAGGATATCACACCGTGCAGAGCAGACTGTAATCACCCTGACAGCTTAGCACACTCCAGGCAGGCAGAGAACTTCCTTGTGACAAGCCCAGTGTGGAAGTGCCCTGTGCTGCAATGGGCTGCTCACAGCTCACGGGGACCCTCCCTGTCCTGTCCTGTTTCACTACAGCCACAGCACAGGCCAAAATTTCCTCTCCAGTGGGCTCTTAATGCTCAGGACTTACATCCTCACTGGGTTGTGGAGGGATGGCTGTTAGACACACACAGATTGTCCAGGAAGAGTGACTCTGGTCGCACTGCCAGCTCTGCTTGTACCAGAGCCCTGGAAAGCCCAGCTGCTCCTTATTGCTGCCATCTGAGGAGAGGAGTTTGGCTGCAGTGAGGAGCAGCCTTGGATGACCTCCAGCTGCTTCCACAGCTCCAAAACTCTGCAAACAGTAATACACAGCAAAGATAAGCACTGCAAGTGGAAATGCATGCCAACAACAGTCAAGGAAGGCTCACCTGGGGAGCAGGAGTCACCCATCATCCTGTGACAAACCTTCCTGGCTCCTCAAAGCCTTTGGATTATACACGGAGCCTGAATAGGAAACCCCCATTCACATGCCTTGCCCCCAGGGTCAGCCTTTAGAATTGGAGTTAATTCTCCACATTTGGCAGATTTCTGCAAGCCTGTTTCTGTCGCTGGTGGCTAAATCCTGTAGCTCTGGTAGCCTGAGCACAAGGCAGGGTAAGATATGATGAAGGGGAGAGCTGGGAAGATCACAGAGTCTTTCTGGCCAGTTTCAAGCCTAACTCAAACAACAAGAGTTTAAAGAGCCCCTCACTTAATCCAGTAAAACCATCACCCAAAACCAATCACTTCAGTCCAGACAAAAGCTTGGCTTGTGGCCATGACGTCCTGTGTGTCTACTGGCTAATGGTTCTATGCTTTTGGTGTCTTCGTGGATCTAAGAAATAAAAAGTGAGAAAAATACTCTAAGCAAAATGTCCCAAGCTAAAGAACTGAACAGCTCATTTTGAGAATTGAAAAAGAGAAGATTAGGCTTAGTGCAAATGTTGTGCTTTGGACATCATGCAGTGAAAGTGAAACAATGCCATGAGGGAGTTTGAGCTTATTTGATAAAGTCTCTAACTAGATAAAGTCATAATAGTCTCCAAGTTAATGTATACACTACTCATTTCCTCCTGAAGTACTGGCAGGAGGGAGGCCAGATCAAAACTGAGAGAGGAGGAGGAGTGCTCCTCCTGGAAACTTGTGAGAGAGGTGCAGAAACTCGGGATGGGCTGTGGCCCCGTGGCCATGGATTTCTGTATTGTGTAGCCAGAGCATGGTCTCTGAGATCCCATCAAAAGGGACTTTTGGATTGTTTCAGCTGAAATCTTCCTTAAATCCTTTCTTGTCCCCCCTCTTCCCACCATGTCCCTAGTGAATTCTTACAGAGGACTTTGGGAGGCACGTGTCCACCTCCACAGCATCCTGACCATGTTCCTGTTCTTCTCTTTGCAGCATGCAGTCCTGCCCGAAGACGAGCCAAAGCTACGCAGCACATCCTGGCAAAGAGTGTAAGAAAAATTTCCTTTCCTCTCCCTGTTTTTTTGTTTTTTTTTTTTCACATTCTACTTGGCTATGCATACCCTCAAAAGTGCTGTGGGTCAATGGGAAACAGGGTAAAGAAGTGCATCCGTGTCTGATGCAGGGAGTGGGGTGGGAAACAGAAGGGGAATTTCTGTAAATCAGCAGTTTATTTACATAAGTGTTTTGAAACAAACAAACAAAAAAGCCCACAAAAACAAACAAACAAACAAAAAAGCAAACAAAAAGGCCTTGCCATGCAGAGCCAGTCAAAATGAACATAGTGGCTTACCAACACTGGCCTTCTGAGGAAATCACAGACTTCAATACTGTCCATAGAGCCTTCACAGTAAGTCCAGAGACATGCAGGAATGAAAAGTAAGCAAATCACACCAAATAATAAATCATATCAGTGTTAATCAAGTAATAATAATAATCATGTTTGCCCCCTGGTCCCAGCAGTGCTTGCCTGCCTTTGCCTCAGCCTCGGTGCAGAGGGCACAGAGGAACCCCCCAGATTAAAATAACTGAACATTCTTCATGCTCTGAGTAAATGTCTTGCAAGTTCAGCTGCTTTCATACATGGGTGTGAGGTTTCTTGTCTTCAGAGACAGTTTTCTCTCCTGAAATCCACTTGACCCATTCACAACCCCTTGCACAATCCTTTCAGCTGATTCGCAGGATTGACAGTCTCTTCTGCATATCAGAGCACTTCTTACAAGTTTGAGACTCTTCTGCCAAAGCATTTCTTTTCACCACAGACCTGTCTCTTGTCTAGCACTTTGCTGAAGTACTTTGCTCCATGGCCTTCCCTTTTTCCATGCCCTTTCCTGCTTCCCAGATCCATCCTTATTTTCCAAGAGCCTTTTCTTTGTATTCCTGATTCCCTGATCTCCCCACAGAACTGTAGGTCCTCCTGCTCACCACACTTACCTGTGCACTGGAAAAAAAACCTCATCACATTCACTGCCACCCTCTCTTTTGGTTACTAAAGCAGATCACAGGATCCCAATACATCACAGGACACGTGAAGTGGTCCCCAGGAAGAGTCAGTAACATGTCTGTCATTTTTGGGGTAGAAAATCTGCATGTGTATATTTTCCCAAATTGTGACAGTTGATTTTGGTTGATTTTGTCCCATAACTCAGGCTGAGATTTCAAAATTACTCTTCATTCCAAAAGAAAGATGAATCAGACTGCTGGAGTGTTACTCAAAATAAGCCATTTTGAGATGCCCCACTTTTATTTGTTAAACCTTTGGTATATTTTGTTTTCTATGCAATATAAAAACAGCAGAAAAGTCCAAATCAAAAGTGAAGTATTCTGACTTGACGAAACAAAATACTCAGATAATCTGCCTTTTTTTTTTTTTTGACAATATTTCTCATAGGACTATTCAGCTGAAAAATTTCAGCTGACTTACATCAAAATAAAAGGAAATTCTATGTCTGATATCTAGCTCCAAATCTCAGTAGATAGTTGTTTCTACTAAATGGAAGCATCAGATATTTAATTTGGATTGGATCAGCTGCTGTGGCAGCACTGTACTCATAAAAGCCTAAGAAAATAAGATAAGAAAGTCCCTGTTTTGTTGCTATATTTTAAGAGGATTGGGTTTTTTTTTTTCCTTTGGGGCTTTCCTGACCCCAATTAAGGATGTCCTTTGATTGGCTCTTAGTCATGATGCAGGCAGCATCATATTAGCAGTGGGAACACCAAGCCTGAGGAATGGTCTGCAGCTCCAGCTACAAAAACAAGGATGGCTCTCAAACCAAAGTGTTTGACTGAGCACAGTCAACTCTTAGACATTGCCCTTCTTCAGTGGATGCAGCTGCTTACAGCTCGTAAGCAAGCACTGAAGTACATTGCACATACTGGAATAGACGTGCCTGTGGGGAAGCTGTGATTGCCAATTTCTAGACCCACAGAAAAGTCACAGAATGATTGTTTATTTTTCACTTTTACATCTGCACCTGCAGTCAGAGCTGTAGAAATACCTCAGCTAACATAAAATCTTCTGCTCTGGTGATTGCAGTGGATGCACAACTTTAATCCTCAGCAAGGACAAAAATAGCAACCAACGTGGACATCTGCCAGACCTTTTTTCACAGCAGAAATACTCAAGCAGTGTAGCATTAAGTGATTTAACATTCAAATTACTGACTGTGGGGGGTAACTTCCATCACATACAAGAACTCATCCCAAAAGCATGATAATGACTGTGGAAGGGTGACAGAAAGGAGGAAGCACCTTTTTTACTTTTAGCTGAGTGTTTCACCAATATTGTATTTGCAGTTCCTATTGCCCTATTAAGAGTTATTTCCAGTGGCAGTAGATCTTTCCCTTCTCTTCTTCTTCTAGCCCCAAAGTCCCTTGGGTAGAACTGTCTGGCCACCAGTACCTGTCTACTTTGCAAGAAAGTAGAAAATACCCCTGTGCATGCTAGAGCTGCCACATTAAAAATCAGCTCAGCAATAGGCCATCAAAATAACTCTACAAATCTGGAATTTTCTCCACTAACAATAACACATTGTTATTCAGACTCTAACTTTCAAAGTTATATCCAAAACCAGATATTTAATTGTCACCTTTTCTGGATGGTTGTTGGTTGGAAGTAGGATTTTAAGTCCAGGATCAGGATGGTTGGAAGAGTTTCTCTGTGACCGTCTTGTGTCCTCTGTGCCCGTTCCCTCTGAACACAGCTAATTCCAGCAGTGGGTATGCCAGGCCTCAGTGCTCTCATGTGCATGGCAAAGTCCAGAAAAATAGAGTTTGCTGGGCTGTGATTTCGGAGTTAGTGTCCTGCAAACAGACTGGGCCAGTCAAAGGATTTAGAGGTTCTAAAATCAGTAGGTTTTTAGAGAGCAGTTTGCTAATTCTGCATAGTTTGGCTGACTCTGCCATTTGCAGAGATTTAAATTTCCTGGCATGTCTAGAAAAGAAAAGTGACTCCCAGTTGATCCTTCTGCTTTACCCTAGGTACCCTAGAGAAATGTCAGCTCCACTTTAGATCAAAACCAAGCTACAGCAGGTTTAGTTTCCTGACCTAGATAAGTCTTTACATATTACAGTAATGGCTGAGGTAGCCAAAGTCACTGTAAAATCTTGAATTAGTAGATAAGGAACTCCCAAAATGTGCTACAACCAAATGCTGCCAAAAAAAAAAAAAAATGCTGCTGAAAATATGCTACAGAGATTGCACTGTTGTATCCAGCTGTAATGGAAAATGGCACTGTAACTTATTTATACAGGTTCTGCTGCTTGAAGGTGTTTTGGCATTACTGATATCATATATAACAAGGAATCTTGAAAACATAGACAACGTGCCTAAATAATTCTTGCTATTAATCAAGATAAAAATCCTCTTCTTTTCCCCAAATGTATTTCATCCTGTGCAACACGTAGGCAGAAAGTTAAGTTTCAAGTCCATGGTGGTTTACACTGATCAAATAAGCCACTTTCAGGATTAGAGGTGACTTCAGCCAGCATCCTACTTACCAGAAATGCTCTTTCCATGACAGTGCAAAATAAGTGACTGCAGGTGTCTCAGCAGCAGAGGGTTGATGACATTTTCTGTCACACACCAGCAAAGACTAAGTGTGACCAAGAGCACTGGACATTTTTCCAGAGATGGTGGGAAAAGCTGAGCTTTGTGGTATTCCTTGAAAGCTGGAAGAGCTCAGTTCACACGAGGCAGACTCCAAGGGCTGTCATTAGAGACCCCTGCCAGCCACAGCCTCCTCAGCTTGGTCCTGAAGATGGGAGTCTCCACTGGTGCCCCCGTGGTGAAGGGGGTGATGCCCTGGTGAGCAGCTTGTAAGGTTTGTGTGGACACAGGAGCCTGCAGCCTGAAGGAGCTGCTGCAGAAGGATGGGGAGGTGCTGGAGCTGCTCCAGGGGCAGCAGGGAGGGAGCCAATGCCAACAGCTTAAGCAGCAACAGGAGGCCTCTCACAACCAGCATCACCCTCGTTCTGAAACATTGCAGCAATGCTGAGGCTCAGCCCCGTTGGCAGCTCCAAATTTGTGATCAGTGGAGCTGGGAGCCAGCTGCAGCCTCCTTTAGCATGTGCTTGTCTTCAAGGACACCAGTAGTCTCTTTAACTGGGCATGTCTTTAAGTAGTTTACAGCACATGGAGCGTGTTAGGCTGTGTGTCAAAATCCACAGAAATAGGGGGAAATCCCTGTCCAGCCTTGGATTAGGCTTTGGTTGCCTTACCTGCCTTTTCCAGAAGTATTTTTGCCTGTTGTTGGGCAGTTTCTGCTCCTCATCCTACTAGTCAGTAGGATTTAGGTAATGTAGGCTTGTCCAGACTCCTGAGGGTACATGAAGACAAAAGAATTAAAAGTGGTTAGGTTGGGATTTTTCTTCTTTCCTGTTTAGGAAAACATGGATTTGCATATGTTGTATGTCTGTGTAAAAAATCATATACAGAGAACATTGCAGATTTATGGCAGATTGAATTAAAACTTAATTAGAGGAAATGGACAATTTGGCATGAGGGTACATGCTTGAATGGGGTCTTTTTTTTATCTTTAGTGTGTGTTAGAAGGCAGAGCAATAGACAGAATTACGGCTTTTTCTATGTCAATAGTGAGCTGGCCAGTTTTTGGTCTCAGTCTTGAGGCAAAATGACTATATTCACATCTAAAACACGTAGACAGGAGCTGCCAGTCATCAGCTAGATGTAACTAACTGCTTTTCTCATGGTCTTCCAACATAAGTAAGTCTAATAGGAAATAGCCTGAATAGTTGCCATGTCTTGTTTCCTTGCTGGTTTGGATCATCACCCTGTTTAAGTGGTTCTCTGTATGACAGCAGCAAGTCCTTAGGGAAGAATAAAAAAAAACCCAACAAAGTATGAAACACTCTGTCCCTGCTGTTGGAACTTTGATCTTCTTGAGAAAACTCTTTCCAGACCATCCTGGAGAACAGTCCTGACGAATCCACTTCTTTGAGGTGTATCCCTGTTTGTCCAAACTCACATTAGCTCTGGCATCCCCAGTTGCCTGTGGCAGGACAGTGAGTGCTGTGGTTTAGTCATAATTGATTAGAAAATAACTTGATTTTGTTCATGCTTGTTTTCAGGGACTGTTGGAGATGGGGGGGTGGGGGTGATGCCCAAAGTTGCAGGTGTCAGTGAGTTTTGTCTGTGTGAGCTAATGTTTGTGAAATTAATCTCTAGGAGCACAACGCTTCTCTGCCTCGTATTCTCTGTGGTCATTTATCAGCTAAAATATGTAAGTAAGTTTAAAAGATAGGAGAGACCATAAGGAAACAGTATTTGTAATTCACATAAGTTTGACCAGTTGCCCAAGATGTGATGCAATAAGAAAATAAATCTGAGCTGTCTCAGAGGCATATCCCATTCAGTAGAGCTTGGAAAGGAGCACATTTCGGCCTCCTGAGGAGAATACAGAAAGGTGCAACTAATGAGCTGGGTCCCAAAAAGACCCAGCAGCATTTTCCCATACTTCTGTACACAGCACAGAAGCTGGAGCCAAACACAATCCCACAAATCCCACACTCCCCACCTGACAGCAAAGCAGCAGGAAGAACAAGCAGCCTTTCGGCTCCCCGCTGACCTCGAGCCGGGAGCCGGGTGTCAGGGGTGTTTGCTGTCCCCCGCAGGCGGTGGCGGTGCCGGTGCCGGTGGCGGAGCGGCGGCCGCAGCCCGGGGAGCTGCTGCGGGCGCGGCGCGAGGCGG